GCGCGACAGCCCGTGGATTCGAAAAATAGGTTCGACTCGTTCCGAGGAAAATGTAGCAATCGCGGCGGCGGCGGCGGACTCTCTAACCGTCGTTTCGCGCGCGCAGATGGCTGGCAGCGGTGCACGGACGATGAAACACGGAGAGGATAAATTTGCTAAGCTCGACGGAGGCAACAGCAACAGCAGTCAGCAGCGTGTAGCCGTCTTTACGGTAAGATGAATCGGAGTCACTCGCTAAAAAGCGGATCGGAGGCCCGCGGCGGCGCGGGCGCGAAAGCTCCGCGATCGCGATTAAAGCGTGAAACGTATCGGGAATCCTCGAAGTCGAACAGAAGAATTAGCGGACCGGAAGCTCGGCGACGTCGCGTCGGTCCGAACAAGAGAGGTAGAGAAAAATAGACGAAGGGGTTGGGGAGGGGGTGGGAGAAATAAAAGGATACCGTGAACGAAGCGCGAACGAGCGGAGAGGCGAGATGTGAAAAATGGATTTGAATGGTGACGCGCGATAGAGCGCGAACGGGGGAGAGGAATAATGGCTGGCGGGAGAGAAGACAGGCGGGGAAACCAAAAGGGTGAATGTTTTCCCGTTAACTGTAATTTATTAGAGCTGCCGCGCTGCCGCGCGAGCGTTCATTAAATACAAGGAAATTAAACGGAGAAGAGAAAAGGCGACGGCGAGATAGCTACAAGGGAACAATGAGGCGGCTTCTTTGCGGATAACGAATATACAAAAGCGGCAAACGAGAATCTTTTCGCATCTCCTGTCCCGCTCTTTTTCCCCGACGTTTTCGTCGACGTCGCGAGGAAACCGCATAAAACGGAAATTCCGCGCGATTTCTTTGCGTCCGCGAATTACCATCCCCGCGCACCGACGCCGTATCCTATCCAATCCGATCCGATACGGCTCGAACCGAGCTTTCCCGTGATTTTCCGGATTTCCGTCCGCCGGAATACCGCGAGACTCGCGCCTGGAATACCGGGCGACGAGTAATCCTCGAGGACAAGCGCCGTGATTTCGACTGAAACGACGCGACGTCTCTCCCCGGGCTAACCAGGCAAATGCTATTTCACTCGCCCCCGCAACTGCTATCAACGAAAGAATACCGGACCGAATCTATAAAACATTTAATTAGCCTGTTAGTTCCCCTACGGGTATAACGCTGGCAACGATCCCTTGTCTTCGGTGCTTTCTGCGAGCTTTTCTCTCCGACCGAGGTAAGCACCTGTTGCGATTCGTTTTGGATCTTCTCCACGGTGTCGAAACTACCACGGTGTCCGCTCTCGGAGAATTTATTTTATTCCCGCGTTTTACCTTGGACAAAGTTTAACGACTGCCCGATAAGATTGTCTTGACGCAATCATTATATTGGGTTGGCAACTAAGTAATTGCCGATTTGTTCAATGAAATAAAAATTTTTTTTTACTTGGAACGAAGTTTAATCTGTAATGTATTTTCCGTCTTGTTCGATGACCTTTTGCCATCTCTCCGACAACTTGAAAATTCCACGCGCGTAGAAAGTCTGATCCTTTTCGGCCAAAAACTGAGTTAAGTGAGATTTTACAGCGTCATCGTCGTTAAAAGTTTTACCACGAAGGGAGTTGTCCAGGGATCGAAATAAGTGGTAATCCGATGACGCGAGATCGGGGTTATATGGTGGGTGTAACATCGATTCCCAACCAATGTCCATCAATTTTTGCCGAATGGACAAAGACGTGTGCGGCCTAGCATTGTCCTGCTGGAAAATGACACCTTTACGATTGACCAATTCTGGTCGCTTTTCCTTGACCGCTGCATTCAATTTGTCCAGTTGCTAACATTCACGGATAATAAAAAATAACATAATAATAATAATAATAATAATATTATTAATAATTTTATAATATAACATTTACGGATATCATAAAAATGGGAGTGAGAGACATCTATAACTGAAATCGGCAATTACTTAGTTGCCAACCCAATATATTATCAAAACCTCCTCGTTGAGACTGAAGCTAATCCTTTTATTGGTTTCAATATTAACACTATGCCGTCCGGTGGCACCACGCTGGTGCCATGCAAAAACTATCTGTTGTATGCCGGTGGTACCACTTTGGTGCCATTTTAGAAAACTGAAATAACATTTGAACTATATTTCTTGGGTGTTAAAAAAGTCAGCAAGCTAACTATAGCATTGTGGTCGCTTTTCCTTGACCGCTGCATTCAATTTGTCCAGTTGCTAACATTCACGGATAATAAAAAATAACATAATAATAATAATAATAATAATAATAATAATAATAATAATAATAATTTTATAATATAACATTTACGGATATCATAAAAATGGGAGTGAGAGACATCTATAATTGAAATCGGCAATTACTTAGTTGCCAACCCAATAATACGCGGCGCTTCGGTTTTGAATATTGAGAAGCAGCTTCGCTTTTATCGAGCGTTTTTTATTCTGTCATCGAAACACGTCTGATATGCGATCAGCTCGATCCAACTGAGGCAAACTGTGTGGAAAATCATTTACTTTGTAGATCAACGGAGATTAAATAAATAGCTATTCTGTTATTCGAACGTTCATGTCAGTCTACTTAACCCGGATAATCGAGGTTCTACTGTAATACCGTTGAAAATACAGTAAATTCTCCCTAATTTTCCTTCAGCTTGGAGGCAAAAGTGGATAATTTTGGAACAGGAGATACGATTGTTCCGGCTTTGCGCCATGTTTTAATAATCGTTGACAATCGGTAATTATAAAAACAAGTCGCGAGGCTCGAATTCGCAAGGCTCCTCTTCCCAAATTGTCCATTTGGTTGCGAGAAATACGGAGTTCGAAAACCAAAATTTTATCTTTTATTCTTCCTAGTTATTACTGGTCTGCGGATCATTATGCAAAACAACTACTTATTTATTCTTCGATTCCACGGAGTAGTCATCAATACATGCGAATAGAGAAACTCATTTGTCAAATGTACCTTTGTTTCTTTTCACTTTCAGATGCTTCAAAAATTTGAACATCGATCACTGAACTGAAACAATCGTATCCCTCTCTTCTTCTAAGAATAAAATATTATGCCAATGATATTCGTAATTATGATAAGATTTGGTACGGTTGATTTCTGCATTACACTTGTTGCCAAGTTTAGAAGCCAGTGCACAACTAGTATGTACAAGTGAACAACTATTATAAGTCGCTACTCTTTACAATTCATAATGCAACGTAGCTCTGCAAATCCGTCCGTGATATTTGTTTCCATACACCAAATAAATAAATAAATCAATGTATAAATAACAGTCATATAAGATTCTTTCGAATAATCTCTTGTTCCCTTCGCTACCGTAGGCTTCAACATCCGGTTGCTTAGCCTAATTGGCGAACGCCCCGAGCACAACTAAGGGCTGCGTCGCGATTCGCGTTCCGCAAGGGGAAGAAACGTGTACGGGGCCGAATCGGTAAAGGTCGGAACAAGGAAACGGCGAAAATCGAATTGCCGAGTAATTTCCCCCTAATGTACCGTCGTCGTCGGACCGGAAACGAGCGTGGACGTGTCGGTGCCAGCAACGCGGAAGCCGTCGCGGCGTTTCGGTTCTATTCGGCGTCGTCGAATTTAAGAAACAACGACGATCGCCCAACGAACCGTCTCCTCCTCCTCCTCCTCCTTCTTCTTCTGCTATTTCTCGTCCGTCCCTCGCCCTATTTCTCGAACTCCGTATCGTGCGGGCTCCATCTCGAAAAGAATCTCAAGCTCGGCGGAGTCTTCATCGACGACAGAAATCGACGAAAGTTTAAACGTTACGCGAACTCGAGCCATAAGGCGGACTTAGGCACGAGTTAAACCGGTAATGGATTCGTGCGAGAGCGGACTGTGTTCAACAGATAAGCCGCGAAATAAAAGTCCGGGCCGGGGTATCTAGTTTCGGTGAACTTGTCCGCGAGCGGCTGCGCCGCGCTGACTTTTTGGCTCGACGTCAAAGCGTCTCATTTGGCAGGGATCGCCAATTTTTCTCGCGTTCCCGCGTTAATTCCGTCGACGGTACCGAGACCGGAGAGTCTCGCTCGTTCACGAAGCGACGGAAGTCGCGAACATGCCCCGCGGCGAGCCTTCCGGCTGCAGCTTATCGATGAATTCCGAAGCGTCGAGTAGCGTCGCGTCAGCGCGGCCTTCCGTTCGAATAATATCGCATAAACACGAGAAACAAATTTATCCGAGGATATTATGATCCAACGATCCTACTTCTCCGATTCCGCTTCCTCTCCGAGCGTTTCGTCCGACTCCGCGATAATTACGCTCCGTTCGCACATTATCTCCGCCGGCAAAATTCGTTCTGCAGGGCCTTTCAAAGAACCATCGACGCACCTTTACCCGCTTCATCCGTTGTTCGCGCGCGTTAAATCTTATCGGCCCATTCAGCAGAGCGCGCAGCGTTTCACTATGCAAGCTAGAATCTCACGACCCCAAGGAATCCCAAGAACCTAAACTATACCATGGCGAAGTTGTAAAAGCTGCGGACGAGGTGGAACGACCGCAACTTCGAAACGAATGCACGACCGGCTAACTGTACGTCCATTAGCGGAAACTGTGAAACTTCGCCGGCCGCTGTTATTCGAACGAGATTAGGAATAGAAATCGACCTGTACGGGGTGTCCCAAAATTATGGTATTTCCGGGAAACGAGGGGTTCCTGAGGTCATCCGATGCAACTTTTTCCTTGACGAAATTTTTCTCCGACGCATCGTTTACGAGTTATTCGCGAAAAACCGTGACCAATGAGAGACGAGATCAGTTGGCTCGAGGCGGCCGAGCCAATCGGCGCAACCGGGCTTCGGCCGCCTTGCCGAGATCGTCTCTCATTGGTCAGCGTTTTTCGTTGATAACTCGTAAACGAAGCCTCGGAGAACAATTTTGTAAAGGAAAAAGTTGCATCGAATGACCTCACGAATTCCTTACATCCCTCAGAAGTACCACGATTTTGGGGCACCCTGTACAGTTGGAACGGAATGAACCTACCTCTCATGTAGATGTAAGCGGTTCCCCGCATGTTGCGTCTGGTGAGCACGACCAGGTTCAATATGTTCCCGACGATTCCCAAGCAACAGATTGCGGGCAGGATAATGCCGTAGCTGATCCTCCTCAGCGACGAGGTCCGAGGATCCTCCAAGTCCTCCTGCAGAAGGCATATTCGCGTCTCCGTCGAGTTCTCCGCGCTGTTCATCTCCCCCTCCCACGCGCGCACTCGTTTTCTCTGTCTTTTTCACATTCACAGCCGTCCGGACTCCGGGTTAAATCGTCCATTTCATCTTCCGCGATCAGAGTTCAAAGCCGAACCCATGCCGCGATCCGGCATGATCACTCGTCCCACGTTCACGGCCCGTCTCTAGATCCTGCGATACGGTTCAGGCATTCTCGGGCCGCCGATTCTGCGACCGCGAGAACTCGATCGAGCAATTTGCTCGGATTTCGAACTATCTAGGGTAAGCGTAGGGTACGGTTTCTCGAACAAGCCGTACTTTCACAGAGAAAAGAACACCTTTCGCGCCAATAAATTGACAACTTGATTTATATTTATTATTCTTTAACCTTTTAGGCTCGACGCGCCACTATAGTGATTTCCGCGGATATCATCTTTTAGAACGACGCGCCACTATAGTGGCTTGCTCTAATAGCTCACGCGCTCATCGTTTGAACCAAATAATCGTCTTCATGTGCATTGTTTCACACTTCTTTTGTCTTCGCATCGATTTACAGCAGTCTACAGGCTGTCACAAAAATGTCTCGCAAGCCGGAAATGGCGGGTTCCTCGGATCATTTGAAGCAACTTCTTCCTTTACAAAAATGTTCTCCGAGGCACCGTTAACGAGTTATCAACGAAAAACAGTGACCAATAAGAATCGATTACGGCTGACGCGAGGCGGCCCAGCCAACCAGCGCGCGAAGCCCAGTTCCGCTCATTGGCTCGGCCGCCTCGCGCCAGCTGAGCTGGGATTCGACCGCTCGGCCGCCTCGCGCCAGCTCACCTCTCATTAGTCACTGTTTTTCGTTAATAATTCGTTAACGGTGCCTCGGAGAACATTTTTGTAAAGGAAAAAGTTGCTTCAAATGGCCTGAAGAACCCGCCACTTTCGGATTGCGAGACATTTTTGGGACACCCTGTATATACAGACAGAATATACAGTATCAGACTCTGTACAGTACGCATCAGACTCTGCCGTCCAGAGAAATAGCCTCGCGCAGAATTCAGCCGTACCTAAAAGGTTAACTTGAATATTTGCTTTTCTCAAAATATCGGATCTCCGAACGCGCAGATTTCATTAAAAAGCGTAATATAAATAAACCATACGTGTGCACATATTACTGCGATTATGTATCTATTACTGCGAGCCAAATACTGCGGACGTTCCGATTTCTTCGTGTCAAGGTGACGTAACCCATTTTCTTTTAAATGTACACACACAGCTACAGTTCCTAGGATCAATATATTTTCACCGTAAAACAAATTTACAAATTAGATATAGGTACGCTACGATCAAGCGTGTTCGCACCGGCTCATCGAGAACCGCACTGTATAGGTTAGGGTACGCAATTCAGTGAAGCAGTAATATACACACATAGTAAAAATGTATATATAGTAAAAAAGTAAAAAAACTATACTAAATACTGTGTTAGTAAATAATATTTGAGGATAGATGATAGCGACACTATATATCGACTTTTTATCAAAGTAACGATTACTTTATCTAAAAATAACGTTAAAATGAATAGTTTATTATTAATTGCCAAACTATAAATGCCTTTCGAATCAGCGTTCACAGCTGCCACTACGAATATATCATAAGACACGACGTTTTCATAAGTTTCCGGATATACAAAAATCAATAAATGAATTAAAACTGCGAATGCTGTTACCCTTGTACGTCATAAATTATCGATATTAAACGTATAAAAAATTATGAGATTCATTTTTAGAAGATTATAAAGACTATAAAGAAGATTATAAAAATATTTATTACTTTTATAATGTAATAAAATAAAAAATACGCCCCGCAGTATTTGGGGCGTCCCCGCAGTAATACCCACACTTACCCTAGCAGACCGAATTCTCGAACGGCACTGTTAGCAAGACACGACGACGCGGCTGTCAACGCGTTAAATATCGCGAAAGAAACGGTCCCGGATGCAACAGGTGCATCGACAGCCCACCGCCGTTCATTACTGGCGTCCGAAAACGCCGAAAGAAGATCTCGAGGATGGATGGCCTCCTGCACTATTTCCACGGTGTATCGTGTCCACGGAGCTGCCGCGCCTCATCGATCGGCCGGCCTTATCGCGTTCATCCCCTAGAAAACAAATCGTGTCGTTAACAACGGCGTACGTTCGGGCTCGATCCGAAGGAATCGCTCGGAACACGACGAAGTTAATTCTCCAGTTGCCCGGCAAGTTTCCACATTTTTCTAGCCGCGGAAAGTCGGTGCGGTTCGTCGGCTAATCGACACGAAGACGGATCGCCGTGCCGGCCGAGATCATCCCGGTGTTCCGCGTTGCGGCAACGAAATCGCGGGGGCGACGGCAACTGCGCCCGAAGAAACACCGGGGACGCCAGATGGAAACGGATATAATTCACGTTTCGCCGTAATAACAAAGTTTCCCCCCCCCCCCCCGGAGAGGGGTGAAACCGCGCCGCGTGCGTACACTCCCCGGCAAAAAGACAACGAGCTTCCGAAATTTTCATCTCGTGCTTTCGCGCTTTCTCTTCCTCCCTGCGTCAGAATTCATCGCGGCAAAAATGCAGGGTGTCCCAAAAATGTCTCGCAATCCGGAAATGGCGGGTTCCTCGGATCATTCGAAGCAACTTCTTCCTTTACAAAAATTTTCTCCGTGGCACCGTTGACGAGTTATTAACGAAAAACAGTGACCAATAAGAATCGGGTACGGCTGACGCGAGGCGGCCCAGCCAACCAGCGCGCGAAGTCCGGTTCCGCTCACTGGCTCGGCCGCCTCGCGCCAGCGGAACTGGGATTCGACCGCCTCGACCGCTGGCGCCGTTGGCCCGGCCGCCTCGCGCCAGCCGAGATCGCCTCTCATTGGTCACTGTTTTTCATTATTAACTCGTTAACGGTGCCTTGGAGAAAATTTTTGTAAAGGAAAAAGTTGCTTCAAATGACCCGAGGAACCCGCCACACTTTCGGATTGCGAGACATTTTTGGGACACCCTGTACAAAGCGACCGGGAACTTCGAAATTAATGCTCTTTCAGAGATACTTCGAGATACTTCCTCGATCGGGCGTCACCGGATCGGAAACCGTCCCTTTGACGCCGCTAAACATTCCTGCCTCGAACGCGGATGATTGCCGGGAATAACGCGCCGCGCCGTTGCGACGATTGCATCCGGAATCCCGTTGCACAAAGGAAGGTCGCGAATTATCGTAACTTCGGATTTCCCGGGAAACGTCTTGTTTCAACGTTTCCAGGCACGAACTCCGGCTTTGCTCTGGAAAACGCGGCGACGCGCGACGCGACGCGACGCCCCCGGAATATTTTCAAAATACTTACCAGCTGCTTCCCGAATATTTTTGCAATTGCCGAGGTGTGCTTGAGGCTACGAATTTCCACGTAGATCGGCGTTCGCACACATTTCTGCGCGGCGGGGCGGGTCGAGCGTTTCCCGGAAACGGTTTCGGAATGTACGCGCGTCTCGGAATTTCACTTGCAATGACTCGGAACTTCGCGAATACCTCCGTATCGTCGCGCTGCGAACGTTTCACCGGTTTGCTGCTGTTACATTTTAAGTAGTGGACCATCTTTTCGGTATTTAACGTAATATTGGTTTCGATATATCGACAATGAATACGATATATGGACTCTTTGGTGCGTATGGAAATCACAGGAGCCTTAAAATAGCCGTGTCGCCACCACCGGAAGTCGCAGGATTGGTCGGAAACCGTTCTGTTCATATCTTTGTGACTGTGAGAAAAAATACAATATGTCGCAATTCCAGAAAATGCGAGTTTACGAAATTATTGAACTGTTGAATATAGGATTCGCGTATTTATCTGGAACAAAGTCGGGATAAGAGGAAGTCCGACAGACTGAAAGAAGGAAAAAACAAGAATTTTTGCAATCAGAGCTTTAAGTTAAAACCCTGAAATGCGACGTTCTCTCTTGCAACAAGATATGCCACATGTCTCCCCTCTTAAAATGTAACAGTTGTCATATTGGTTAAATGATGAAGACGTCCAACTATTGGGTCGTTCGGAAAGTTGTTTTGTTTCTCAACAAAAATCTTGTTTTGTAAGCTCGTTAAAGAAGCACGTGATTCGCATTTTACGAATCAACGACGGGGCTTCTACGAGATAAGCAGAAAAATGTCGGAAAGTTTTCTTTTCATTTGAAACGTTAAAAAATTGTCTTTTATTTTCTCGTGAAAGAACGAAACAACTTTCCGAACGATCAATATTTAAAAGCGCGACTTCGATTTCGTAAGGCTTTTTTGCGATGGTTTGACAGCGAGCGGGTTGAACGGATTAAGAAGAACCGGGTTTCCAGAGTTCGTCGAAAAATGGACGAGCCTCTTGATAAAAATTCCAGAAAAATTGCCAGATTCGCGGTATTTACGCGGCCGCGAACACCTGTTACATTTCGACTTGTTTTCCGTCCTTGTTAACGGAATCCTGGGAGAATGCTGGAATTCAACTGCAGTCGACTCCCGAGGAGTTCGGGACGCGAACCCTGGAAGAAAGTTTGCAATTTCCGTATTGCACTCGCGACAATTCTCGCGAGTTTTCTCCGGGAACGGTACCCGCAGCTGCGGCTCGATACTCGATACTCGACCCTCGACACGAGCAGCCGAATCTCGGCTTCTCGTGTATTATACATTCGCATTCGTTTCACCCGTTCCCTTAGAGCTGCTTACTTAAACGAAGTTTCGCAACCACTGACCAGAGTGCAACCGAACCGTTCTGCATATTGCCTTAGGATTCATACTGATTTTGCTGGGCTCTTAACCCCTTGCCGTGCCATCTTCTTTCCAGTTACGATGACTAGAAGTTTTTCGATTATAATAATTTCTTAGAAGAAGAAGATGAAGAAGGATATTTGTATTTATTGTGAGCCTATATTTCCTGGAATAGTTATAAAAAACAGAATTTGATTTCAACCTAAAAGAACGGAATAACATTCATTCTTAACAGGTTCTTACTAGAAAGTCTCCGTCACGAGTTAAACTACGGCAAGGGGTTAAATTGTGTGTCGCCGGCTCGAAGTGTAAAACGAAAACATTTTAAACTTAGAACTTTGTGAAAAATGCACAGAGCATCGGTAACAAACACCTACCATTCGTTGATATACAATGTGATCAATCCAGTGAATGAACATATTGTTTATATTATAATATTAATTGTTTATATATAATATTAACTATTATAATATTAATTATTATTATAATTATATTATAATATTAATATTGTTTATATATAATATTAACTATTATAATATTAATTATTATTATAATTATATTATAATATTAATATTGTTTATATATAATATTAACATATTGTTCGCCGGCATTAATTTTGTAATTTCCGAAAGTCCACAATTTGCAATAAAAAAAAACTTCTTAAGAAATTGACTAGTGGTACTATCTATGTCTATCGTGTACGAACAAAACGTCTCTAATAGCATTATCTAATCATTTCGTCTGGAATTATCATGTAGAAAGAAGTTATTTAGGCTTCTCTTGGTACAGCACAGTAATTGAAAACTCTATTAATGGTATATCAGTAGATAAAATGTTAAGCTGCGCGTTTGTTAAAACGATCGTTATTTAATCCTAATTAATCTAGTATTAATCCTAATTAATCTTTAGTATTATTACTAAACTCATTCATCTCTGAATACAATTCTAGCATTTCTTGGTAGTTGCAGCTATTTAAAAAAAATGCGTTAAGTGATCAATGAATGAACAATTGATAAATCACACAATGACATCTACAAGACATATGTTGATATATAATGGAACTACCCTAAGTAACTATAGTACGAAATGGGTATAATGAACGTTACTTTTTCATATAGGAAGTGTCCGTTCATTAGTTCATTCAGTGTCAAATTTCGGGTTGCTGTGAATTTCCCCGTGCTACTGCCACGCCTAATTTATTGCTATGTCGATGATAAGGGTCGACGGAGTCGGTCGAGCGCGTGATGCGGCACGCGACGCGAATTCCCGGATGACGTCGCAATATGGTCTGTTTGGGTGTGAGTCGGGTTAGAAAAACCGCGGAGCTAGAAGGTACGTGTTAGGTACAGTAAATTCTCCCCAATCGTCCCTCAGTTTCTAAACAAAGTGGACAACTTGGGAAGAGGGGATATTCGAGCCTCGGGGCACGTTTTTGTAGCTGTCGATAATCGGCAGCTATAAAAACGAGCCGCGAGGCTCGAATAATCGTGTACTCACTTCTCAAGTTGTTAATTTTTTGTTTACAAGTTGAGGGGCGATTGAAGAGGATTTATTGCACTAGGTACGTGACCGTCGAATCGTGGCATCTGGCAAATTCCCGGAAGACAATATAAAATAGTCTTTTTGGGTGTGAATCGGGTAAAAAGACCGCGGATCTACGAGGTACGTGACCGTCGAATCGTGGCAAGTGGTCTCCAAATTGCCTTCGAATCGTATCGTGTGGACTACGAGTTGCCTTCGAATCGTGAAAGCCTCCGAATTGCTTTCGCATCGTGTCAGGTGGCCTCCGAATTGCCTTCGAATCGTGTCACGCGGCCTTCGAATTGTCTTCGAATTGCCTTCGAATCGTGTCAGGTGGCCTCTGAATTGCCTTCGAATCGTGGAAGCCTCCGAATTGCCTTCGAATCGTGTCAGGTGGCCTCTGAATTGCCTTCGAATCGTGGAAGCCTCCGAATTGCCTTCGAATCGTGTCAGGTGGCCTCTGAATTGCCTTCGAATCGTGGAAGCCTCCGAATTGCCTTCGAATCGTGTCAGGTGGCCTCTGAATTGCCTTCGAATCGTGGAAGCCTCCGAATTGCCTTCGAATCGTGTCAGGTGGCCTCTGAATTGCCTTCGAATCGTGGAAGCCTCCGAATTGCCTTCGAATCGTGGAAGCCTCCGAATTACCTTCGAGTCGTGTCACGTGGCCTCCGAGTTGCCTTCGAATCGTGTTACGTGGCCTCCGAATTATCTCCGAATTGCCTTCGAATCGTGTCATGTGGTTCTGAATTTCCTTTGAATCGTGTCAGGTGGCCACCGAATTGCCTTCGAATCGTGAAAGGTGGCCTCCGAATTGCCTTTGAGTCGTGGCAAAATATTAGAAATAAAAAAATTCATCGTTTTTAT